CTTTCGGGAAGAGGAAGTAATCTTTGGCCAGAGGGTCGATAGTCTCCTAGAGATGAGAGACATTCTGTGTGTGTCAGTGTCCATCATGGTGGGTCGATGCTTTGTCGTGAGAGACACAGTCGGACAAGACAGACACGCGGAGTCGGGCCCTTCGCGGTCGGCTGCGGCTTATGCATGTAGGTGGCATGGTTGATGAAGTAGCTTGAAACCACGGCTGCTTCTGCCTCATGCGGTAATGACACTGTGGCCGTTCCAACCCAGAAGGTTCCATCGATGGGAAGATCCTGGCAGTCTTCGGATACATGGGCGAGACGGGAAGCATGCCGTACCTGATCGCGTCGTTTTGAGACTGGTAAATACTTGGCATTTGATAAATTTGAATGTGGACCCGTCCGGTTCCAACGCTGACTCTTTCCCGAGGGAGTGGGCCCTATGTTTGCGAATCTCGGCGGAGCCATCGGGTTGCTGAACTGGTGAAATGTTGTGAGCAAATGATATGTGCCCAGTTGGGAAATCAACTCGTTGCAGAGGTGGTGTCATGAAGAAGGATTTACGATGCACGACTCAGGACATTGATACAAGCGATAGACAACCGTGATCGCGATCGGATTGAGGTGGAGGACGACTATTAAGCGCAATAAAAATGTGCCACAGAAAACAAGAGAATTCCAGATTTAGGTCGTCACCGGCGTCAACAATGTATCGTTCTCCAGGAAGTAGCCAAACCCACTATGCGAAGCCATTTCTGAAGGATGCAAGGAACGGAAGGATGACCATATCGCTGAACGCATGCATAAAATATGCCAAGCCACCGGCTCCAAAGGTGGTCCGCCAATAATGTCATTCACCAGCCCCCTAATATCAAGTCGAGGAATAGGGAGCCACAATTAGACCCCGAACGAGCGCACACTTCGGCAATTTCAAGGTTCTGGAGCGAACCAATGATCTTGTAGACTGAAAAGTCCACTAATAGGAGGGCTAAAGCGGGAGCTCAGTCTCCGTTCACCTTGGACAACTGATATCTAGGCCTATAGAGGGGGGTTCTCAGGACGTTTGATGAGGGCCTAGAGGCTCTTATTGTATGGGAACATCCTAGGACGTCCTGACACGTCCTAACAATTCAGTTTCAATTCAAACCTAGCATCAACGTCCTGGGACGTCCTAGGACGTCCTTGCAATTCAAACAAAAGTCGCACATCCGTTATTATCACCGACCACGCACAGATGGTAGTAAGCCTTTCATTGGACAAAAAATACACGTGTAAATACAAGAAATATTGGTTGCAAGAAATCTTACCAAGAACATTACTATGCTGACAACAGTATTAGTCGCAAGAAATTAAGGGAAATTGTATCAAGAAAATACAAGACAACAGTCGCAAGAAATTGCCAAAAAAATTAAGAGAAATTGTATCAAGAAAGCACAGGAACGGGTGATCTGCACGGAATTATATGATTCAAGATGGAGTGGCTAAACAGTCAAGTGTGTAGTTCCAAGACCGAAGTATGCAATCACGACAAAGTTCATATGGTCTCACTCCCAGAGGTCAGGTACGTCCTGAAACGGAATAAAGGACCAGCCTGGATCTACAGTAGAAAAGGCAAGGTTCGGATCATCTGGATCGCCTGGGCCAGTCGGCAGAAAGGGAGCAGGAGTTTCAGATAGGTTCCCAAGAGTTGCGCCACTGAAGCTCAGCTGCACATTTGGTTGGCTGTGCAACCCAACGGGGAAATATGATTGTTGATTCTGGAGCATTGCAGGCATGCTTGCCTGATGGAAAGAAGTCTGAGCATCTTGAGAGCCTGGTAGCATCGATGTGCCCTGGACATTTCTATTAGCTTCCACATGGCCTCCAAGAAAAGGTGATGAAGATGTGGCGGAAGACGACGGGGCAACAATAGGATAGGAAGATGAAGACGACCCAAGGAAAGATGTATGGGGAAGGCAATTGTCTGAGTCGTCATCCGGGCCAATGATCGGCTGAGACTTAGGTTGGCGTCGATAGGCCAAACGTTTCTTGGCTGCTCGTTCATTGGGAGCGGGCCGACCAACAGGGTCCGTAGCACTGCGCTTCCGTGGCACGGATGTCGATGGAACAGATGTGGGCGTTTCATCCATCTCTACATCCTCATCTCTGATTGGCCCCGCATGTGTCCACATTGGATGTCGGGCCTGCGAAACAGAGACCAAGGTCGCACCAGAAACGCTTGAGATGACAGCGACCTGATCATCCTGCACAGTTAATGGGCGAACCTTAGGTCTCTGATCAGGTGGAAGCTTCATGATCTGCCGCCAGAGCGCTTTGAATACCCCATCCGAAACCAGCTTGACAGAATGTTCCTTGAAAAGCTTGTAATAATTGAACATTTCGTCATCGGGCCACTGGGTGAGACAAGAGCGTGCCTGAAGCAGCTTGGCTGGTAGCTGTCCCCAGGGGAATTTCTTGTCCATAGGGTTAGCACCCATGATAGAAGAGGGCAGCTGTTCGACGAGATGTAACCGAAGCGAGGACCTACACTCATCACGGGTCTTAGGCGTCGGCGGTGGGTGAAATGTTCCTCCTTGAGGCCCTTCAGACACACCATCATGATTCGCTATAAACTCGCGCATCCGTTTGATGAGTATTGTGTTCGAGCCAGAAAGAGATTTAAAGAAGGCTTCGATAGCACGGGAGTTCGTAATTACACCATTTGCGCTGCGCGTCACAGGATGATCTGTTGTGGAGACGACAACAAGCGCCATGTGAATACCATTTGGCCTGGCCCATGCCAAATCTTTAGCAATGCGACTCATATAAAGATTCATATTCTTCGCTTGAACGTGTGGATCAGAGGCCAGCCTCTGGAGGATTCCTTTGTTGCTCTCATTTTGCTGTTCGATGACTCCGCTTGCCCATGCCTTCCAGCCAGGTGAAGTCTTCCCACCAAGGTCTTTCATATGATCATCGTATTCCTTTCGAATATCCGCCTCCGTACACTTTTGTCCTTCCGTAGAAAGGGAATCAGGCGCCTGCCTCTTCAGACAAATGAGACCTCTTTTGTGGAGGCTCTCAAATGCATTCCAGGCATTTCCGGAGTGGCGCCGATGTTTTGTGGTAATCATGCAGTTGGCTGACCGAAGTACGAGATCTGGAGATTTTTTCCACTGCTTCGCATAATCTATCAGCGTACTGATGTGCTGGTTCACCAGTTTCTGAATGATTTCCCGTTGATTCACAGTCAAGGGGCCACCACGCAAGCCAATAATCCGTGACGTGCCTGACTCTGTGTCAACTGGCTCGAGACTGTCCTCATCGGTGTCCATTGCGGTGAGACCCGCCAAGTCGGAGGCAACGGTATCACCTAGTTCATCCGCATTTGCACCTGGCACCTCCTCCCGAATGAAAAGGAGCTCTGCTCCTTGCTGATCAGCCAATGGAACATCGGAGTCAGCATCGGGAGAGGTTGGGACTCGAGAGGGTGGAGGGGTGGAGGGATCCTGCGGGATGGGTGGTGATTGATACACTGGATTCACAGTTGGACGGGGCAGCGGGGTTCCTGGTCTGGCATCAACGTGACTAGATGAATTCCCTTGCGCGGAAGAGGTATGTTCACCATGCTCCCGTGGTCGTGGTCGAGGGACTGTGAAGGGCAGATCTGATTGGCTGAGACCTGAGTCGTCATTTGAGTCTGGAGCTAACAAGGAACTACGGGTTCCTTCTGGAACTACGTCCAACAAGCCTCGCCGCCGTGATCGTGTAGGGTTCAGGGATGGAGATCCTTGGTCATGAGTGGGAAGGATGGGAACCAAGCAAGACTGCCTTTGGGGGGATGGTTCTCGGGTCACAGGTACACAAGAAGTTTCATTAAATGTTGAACCAGTCGCTGCTTGACATTCGATCGTAGAATCTTTCGCAACGGAAGGTGATGACGGAGCGGTAGATGTCTTGGCGGAATGGCGGCGAGCACTTTGAGTATACGTGGCGTTCTCCCGAGATTCAATGAGACGGGCAGAGGGCTTGCGAGCTCGTCCAGATGTGCGTTCCATTGTAAAGTAGAACCAGGTCAACCACGAGAATGCAGTAGACACACTTCGGTGTACAGCAATAAATCGGGTCTAAAGGCCGACACGCTTTCTGGACAGATAGAGAATCCGCAATGCTGAAGAGATAGGCCCAGCCAGACGATGTGCCTGCCAGAAACTTGCGCAAATCCGAAGACCTCAAGCTGCAGAAACAGCTCTCAGGGCTTGTGCTTTAAGAAAACGCCGTAATCTAGCGACCAAATACTAACGCTGTCACAGAGTTGCGCAGTGAGAGATAAGGGGGCACTAGATGCAGCAGTTCCGCCTAAAGTTTCAAAAGACGACGTTTTTCAGAGATTATAAGGAAAAGGCAATGGTTTTCATGACCCACTAACCTCGCAGTCCCGGGGAGGAAATAGAAAAAAGTCAAACCTAAATTCCGACCTCGCAGGACTGACGAACTCAAGCCGCAAAAACAGCTATCAGTCGTACAGGGACTACGAAAACCTGGTGTTAAGACAGGAAAACTAAGAGACACCAATGTCAGGCTGATTACACGTAAAAAAACGCGTCAAGCATTGCTCTGACGCTCACTCACCTCAAGCGCTGAGGAAAATTGTTCTCGACCCAAATAGGCTTCAACAAATACCCCCGGAGACACAATAAGCAGGGCTTCCGTGGATTTTCAGTACCCGCTACTCCATAGCGGGAGCTATATTCGCCCTAGGACTCAATCTTGTCTGCTGTTACTGACAATCCCTTGCTCACAATACATCGGGTCTACACATAACATCCTCAACATTAATTATTATCAGTATATACAGCACTATTATGATACTGGGAGCAAAAAGATAGAAAGAAAACAAATGAACGATGTGGCAAATATAACTACAGAAAATCGATTGTCCATCGCCGAAGTATGCTCGATGATAGTGGTGCCACACATGTAGAAGAATGCAAATATTGAAAATTAAGACATAAGAATACAGCGGAGGCCTTACTTCACCTTGAAGTAAGGACAATAATCCTTGATGGCAGTGTCGACGGTGAGTCGCCATTTTCGTTGCCCTCTGAGATACTGAAATGATTCTGTCTTCTCCTTCGACTCTCTGCAAATGACGTCTTGGGAGTTCTCGCAGAGATACTCCAAGAGATTCCGAAGAGCAGCGTCAATAACTGACTCGGTCTGCCAGATTTCCGCCATGAATGCTTTCCTTCCCTTGAACAGAGCCGAATCATATGCACGTGCGACGAACATAAAACGAGTCACCCCATAACTCTTGAATTGCAATGGCATCGTGTCATACCAAGCATCGAGGACATGTGGGCTGAAATCAAAGGAATGCAGCTTTACATTCCTCGGGGCGGCTTGAGCCTCAGTTGACACGAGCGGATCAAATCCATGATAAAGGAGTTCTTCGCCAACGTTGTCATTTGTCAGGACCAGCGGCGCATCTGTGAGAAGTCTTGAGCGAAGCTCCTCAAATGGGACACTCTCCCAAACACAACCCACGAAGTGAAGGTCAACCTTGGATACCCAGGAATATGATGCCGCTTCTTTCCCGGAGAATGGATCCAAAGGACTGAAGATTGCGAAAGCAAGCAGGGCATGATAGTGTGCGTTGTTCTCCGAGATGAGCTGAGCGACTCGGTCGAGAACATCACGGTGCTTTGCAAGGATCGCAATGCGTGTTTTCCCATACTTCAAAGCCGATTTGCTTGCCTTGGCTTGAGCAACTGCATACACACCACGAACCTCAAAGAGAGGGGCTGCCCATACGTCCAAATCGGCCTTGCCGAAAGCTTGGAAATGTTTGTCTTCGAGCGGTGTTGTCAGACAATGCCAGGATGTAAATGGGATAGAATGAGGTTGGATCATGCGCAAGACGGGCACTTGCTGAGAGAGGTGGCATCCCGGCTGTGGTAGAGGCCTAGGATTTGACGAAGGGACATCTACTTGCATCTCAATGGGTGATGCAACCCGACGAGATGGACCGAGGGGACTCGGAGGGCATGAGGCGGATCGACTGCGACGATGAGAGGATTGAAGACAGCGGGAAACGGAATAAGAACGAGGGCGAGAACGAGAACGAGAACGGTCAGGGGAGCGTGAGCGAGAATGAGAGCGAGAATGAGGGGAGTGTGAGCGGCGGCAGGAGCGAGAGCTAGAATGTGAGTGATGGCGACGACGTGAAAATGGAAAGCTGAAAGGTGATCGATGGCGACGAAGTGAAGGGGGAGAGGATGAATTCCGGCGGTGGCGCACCGGGCTACGTGAACGACTCATCATCGATCGTCTATGATAGTCCCCCCTACGATCTTCACGCTTGTCATGGGGAGGCTGCCAATGCCGAGGGTGATCATGGTAAGTCTCACGATCCCTTGCAAGAACACGACCACGAGCAGGCCTGCGATTCAATGCATCACTGAGATGCTTTTGTGCGTCCCATCTTCGTCCAATAGGCCCACTCGGACACCGATAAGATCGAGTTTCCACGCGTGAAGCAGAATGTTGGGTTGTTCGACTGCCCACTTCGCGACGCCCCTCGTCAAGTTCCATGGAACCTGAACCTGACGCTCCGCTCATATGCAATGGTGCCGATTGTTCACCTCCATGCGTTTGAGATACAGGATCGTGCATCCTTGTCTGCAATGGTCCTGCGAGACCCATAATCCCGCTGGCAGCTGCAGCTGCAGAATGAGTCGGAGGTTCAACGAATTCCTTAACAGGACCCCGCGTTTTTGCCTGGAGTGATCCTGCAACACCCGTATCCTCATTGGCGGTCACGGGTATAGGATTCGCTTGAGGCTCCGTGAATTCCCTGATAATAAAATGTGATACTATGATTTAGAATGAAATTGACTCATCAAACATACCCTATGAGTTGCAGATACTCTCTGGATAATTGTTGACGGCGAGAGAACTCAGTTTTGTCGAGTTTCACCGGATTTGCCCACTTTCGCATACAGTACCGCTCTAGCGGTGTCTGTCTTTTACTGCCCCAGGTTGTCGATCTCACATTTTTGCCAGCCATGCCAGCGATGATATTCCCAACCTCCCGTTGCGCCTCGCCTATGCCCAGATAGGCTCGGGCGATCAAGAGAGCGCCATAGGGATGGTGCTGGGCTTCCCTTTCCTCCCGGTCATAGCGTTCATGCGTAGCTTCGAACTTCGCCAAACCCTCCTCGGTGTCATCAAACATTGGCGGATCTGGGGCTTTTTGGTACCGTTGACCAAACTCGAGGAGATCTCGACAGGGCTCCCGAACGACAGGTCCAGGGGGGGGAGAACCCTCTTCCTCTGGTAGTGATTCAGGTAACTGAAGAGGCGATTCAGGTAACTGAAAGGAGTCGAATGTTTGGGGGTAAATGGAGTGAATGACCCCGAAGATATCGATACGGAATTCCTTGTTATTATCGCGGTGCTTGGCCAATAATTCAGATATTCGAGCACTCAGCTCGAATAGGGGATGTTCGCTCAAGCGCATTACACCTCGTATCCAAGGATTTGGGCGAAAAACATTATTGGCGGGAATCCGAAAGTAGGAAGAGGTCGACGGACGGTGGACGGTATGGTCGTACGCTACACAAAGGGATTTGAGAGCGCCAAGCCTGCGCGCTGGGGGGGGGAGAGGGGCTTCTTCGATTACGAAAAATGGAATGCCATGACGAACCAAAGGTTCGAGGTATTCTCCAAATTCGAGTTCAGGATTCGCCCCTGGACTCGACGAAAACAGTGTGCATCCTATTATTTCCCCAGTGATAGGGAAATGAGGAGGGGGCAATTCATGAAGAGAAGCAAGAAAATCGATTACTTTAAACAAGGCCCAGAGGGCCCATGCCCGTAAGTCAAGCGCGCGCATAAAAAGAAGTTTGATTGCACGCTGCATCTCAGGCTCACGGCGCCGATCAAGTAATCGATCCCAGTCCTTCAGAACGTCGAACTTGCACTCGTCTGGCTTTGGCAGTGAGAGCGATACGAAGTCCGCAATATTGCTGACAGTCTTAAACATGAGAACGCATTGCTTGAGCCTACTTGCAATCTTCTCTCGCTGTATCAACCATTCGGGCTCCAAGATCTTGTAATCTTCGTACCACGATATGTTCTCATTCCAAGGATCGGTGCGGACCACCGGGCTGTACGACCGCCAAGGTCGTGATCGGTCGTAAAGGACAGGGAAGTGAGTGAAATCCCATGAAGGGGCAAAAGGATAAATGAGTAAATGTGAGGGCGTGCTCTCGTCATTGAGCCGAGGCCACTGTGTGTTGGTCGCATGTAGATTCGCAGCGATGGCTTGGGGGTGAATACCGGGAAACCGATACAAGTCCGACCATTGACTGTTCGAATGTGTCAGCTTGTATGCTGCACATACTGGTTGGGGAAGGGATCCTGATTGAGGGGCTTGAAGTCAGCGCTGAGTTCAACATAGATTAGATTAATACCATCCTTGTACTTACCGGGGAATGACTTCTTGAGGGCCTCCTCAATAGAGCTTATCCGCGTGTCGCTAATTAATGAGTTTTCCTCCAGACCGTCCCGAAAAATTGACCAACGATCTGTTGAATGTTCCAGAACGTTCTGTCCAGGCGTCCAAGATATACTAAAACGCGGTTGAGGGAGTGATTTTCCTTTTTTGGTGAAAACGAGGTCCTTGGGCAAGTGCAGCCCAAAAAGTGAACGGCTCGTTGAGGCAGTCTGGTCTGCATCAGAAATGTCAGTCTGGACCACTACCGAGGCAACGACCTCATTAGTGGGTACAGGGGCTGACGAACTCCGGCTTGCAACACCAGTGCGAGCAACTGCAGAGGTGGCGGCCTCATTAGTGGGCACGGGAGCTGATGGCCTTCCACTGCCCTTCCGCTGCGTTCGACTTGTCGAAGCACCTAAGTCGGTCTGAACAGATTCGAAGCCAACAGGCTTCTTGTCTGACACAGGGTCCACCTTGTTGAGAGTGCGACGCGTGGCGCGAGCTTTGCCTTTCATGGACCTTCCGAGGCGATTGTGCAGAAGAGACGAACAAATCACCGGAAAATTCCGTGGCCCCAAGACGACTAAAAGAAATAAATATAATGCTGGCACTAGTGAGGGTGCTTATGTGTGGTATGGCACCCTTTCCGTTAATAGGTTTCGGCAATCTTTGCTGACTGTAGATATGTAGATAAAGTTGGACGTTTCTAGGCCAAGATCGCAGACATTTCGCTGTAATTAAATTAATCTTTGAAACACCAGAGAAATCAAAAAAAGAGGGCAACAATAATTGGAATGCTGAGCGCATGCCAAATATACTTATATAATTTATTTTTGTTTGCCTCACACAACTCTGTTCTGCCTCGATCCAGACTCGGTTCTGAGCTTTTGAATTGGACCTTTCGATCAATGATGGAATGGGGTCGGGCGAAATCACATTGTCACACTGCGTCGTGTCAAATCGATGCAACTTGGCATACTCAGTAAATAAGTAACTATATGAGCTGCACTGTAGTGTACTATGTAGCTACGATGTATTTATTCAACGCGTTGCCAAAAATCTCTCGCTGCAGCGACTCTGAAATAGTTAGATACTAGGTATAGGGAGCCTTCAAATATATTTATATGGCTTCCATTTGCCAATGCGGGGTGTTGTTGCTGCCTCGATGCAACCCGAACCCAACCCAACGAGTCGGTTCCGAGGTTGTTCCGTCTGCATTCAATGATGGTGTCCCAATCAAAGCTGGCCCCGGCCGTTTTCATGAATATTGCACACGTCGATTGACGCCGACGCCCCGGCCTTACCATCTTATCGCATGAGAATTCATTCCGGGACCGTTGAATGGGCACCGTCATTCAACTCCCTCCCCACCGATTGATAACTTGCTGCACATTAAGTAAATAAATTTGCTCAATATCCCATAATTATCAAGTCATATATGATAATATTAATTATTGCAATCAATTTACACATAAACCCCTCCAGTGCCTGGGGAATATTCATGACAACATCAGGATAGGTATAGACACAATGCCGGCTCCAGGCCTTTTGAATTGAACCTTCTTTGAACAATTGAAACGAACAACTGTGTGTTTGCAACGATGTCCGGCCCTTCTGAGGCTCACCCCGGAGGTGGAAATATGGTGCCTCCATGCCAGTGTGGCAATCAACGTAAGTTCAAGCGATTTTGTACAAGCATGGCCCGGCTGGTACTCACCGTGTTGAAACTTAGGTGTGGGATTCAGGGACCGTAACCACAGCGATGTTATCTATCGTTGTGCTGGAAGAGGACCACAATGTAATGGGGTTTGTGAGTACATAGGAGTGGGCTGCTGTATTCCGGAGCGGTTTCCTCATTTTGGGCCAGATGTTTTCGCCAAGATGGACGAGGAAGATCTTTTGGGTTTGCTTGGACGGAGCATTCAGCAGGCATGGTGCGCCAGTTCATCTCTCATTTCGTTTCATACCGTATTTCACTGATTCTGGTTCTTAATACAGCCGTGATCGAGTAGCGCTGTCAGAAATTCGTAATGCTGTTGCATCATCCGCCAACGCCCAAGGCTCTGGACAACCTGGATTTCTACCTCAACATTCCCCGATCTTCCCGTTCAATTAGGCAATCAGGGCTTCCGTTACAACCCGCCGGTGTGTCTCTGTGCGATTATCACGCCGCCTGCACCGATCGTGAGCGTCTTGGACTGTTGTTGGAAATGAAAAGATCACTGCAATCGCTGAATGAAGATATTCGGGAATTGACTCAACGTCTCCTTCTCAATCTCGAGCAGGCCCCGGTTGAGGCTTCGTGAGATCGATGAGGAAATCGCTGCAATAAATGGTCGTCATTCTTAGACCTTCCATTTTTTTTGGTTCTTATTTATCCTATTACTTTGGCTTGCACTCATGTATGTATTCTTGGGCATAGATGCATGTTTTGTTTCTTGGAATGTGTGTGTACACCTCGGCGAAGTAAATCGACCTAGTAAGGAGTCGACCAATAATGGATGTGCAAAGATGCGACCCAAATAATTATGTGAGAACTGCACTATTGGTTGATTGGTGTGTCATTGTTTGTTTACATCGATGCCATGTTGAAGCGTGCAGTTTAAGTTGCAACCACCACGTCAGCACCCGCACGCGCCAGACGTCGACTGAGACAAAGCGAACTGCTGCTCGCTGAGTCCTGTTGACCTTGGTTCTGAGCTCACATAAGGTTGGAGAATGTGTTGGATGATGCACAGGTCATGACGCCGCGCCGGTACGCACATCGATCTATGTTCACATCTTCCACAGATATTCCTTTTTCCCATGTCTTACCTCCACGTAACGCTACGGCGTTTCATGCGTAGCAGCGTGCAGCGTGCAGCGTGCAGCGTGCGCCATATGTCTCGCTGTCTGTTTCGCCGCTTCCGCTCGCTACGTTTCACTTGTAGCGTTATCATCATCTTATTTCTTGATTACTTTTGTCTGATACGTTGTTATTATCTTATACCGCCGCGCGGTTACATGTTCAGCTCTGTCCTCTCCCTCTCGTTCGAGGGTCCCCGCCGAGTGCTACGTAACAACGGAATGTGTCGGGGGGATTCGTTGTTGTTGTTGTTGTTTGTTTATGTTGATAACATGTTGAAAGGTTCCAACCCACCACCACATCAGCACCAGCACGGCCAGACAGAAGCGGACTTCGGTGAGTCCTGCCGACTCTCATCCTTGTCCTTGTTTGTTGCATTGTTGAAACTGTTCACACCACGTTAGCGCGCACCAGACCTCAGCTGAAATGAAGCGGACCGTTGTTCGATGTCGTTGTTTGTTTGCGTCGATACCATGTTGAAACGTTCCT